GTTTTTTTTTTTTTTTTTTTTTTTTTTTTTTTTTGGTACCAGGGATACACCTGGTTCTTAATAGTGCATAACTATTTCAGTCATCTAAGTGATTCTAGTTCTTTCCTGGTGAGCCACAGAATGAAATTTCATAGAGAAGGTGGGGCAGCGTACACATTTGCCTGTTCTTGTAACCAAAACCCTACAGACATGCTCAGTGCTTACCCATCATGCTCCTGGCTGCTGCCCTCACCTCGAATGCCCTTTCCCCTTTCTGCCTAAGCAAACTGTCCATACAGATTTGACTCAGACCCACAAGCTGTTCCTGCAGTGCATTCTTCCCAGTTCTTATCCTTCTTTGAGGTCCTGGAATTTTTTTTGAGACAGGGTCTAACGATGTACTTCAGTCTGTCCTTCAACTTATGTAGCCCTGGCGGGCCTTGAACTTACAGTGACCCTCCTGCTTCAGCCTCCCTAGAGCTGGCATTACAGGCGTGCACCACCATCATGCCCAGGAAGGCCCTGGAATTTTTAAACACAGCCATCAGGTAATCACATTCCTCCTCGGAACCACTCCTGTGTTGCCATCTGAAAGAGTTGGTTAAATCTTGCTCCTGTCTAAACTTTCCCCATACACTTTCATCTATCCCATCTGGCTTTGTAAATAAAGTTCCCTGCCCACCAACAGAATCAGTCTTTTCTATTCAACAGCGCCCATACTGTACCTTTCCCACAGCAGGCCTTGATCATGTTTGTCAGCTTCATTCCAGCATTGACAGTTTATACACAAGTCAAGTATCCCTTACGCAAAACGCTTGGAACCAGAAGTGTTTGGGATGTCAGAGTTTGGATTATTTGCATATATACAATGAGTTATCCTGGGGGCAAAATCCATCTAAACATGAATTCCACTTAGGTTTCAAATGCTCTCCTGTACACATATGCTTCAGGGTTATTTTTTATTTTTTTGAGACAAGGTCTCACTATATAGCCAGGGCTGGTCTTGAACTGATGATGATCCTCTAGCCTCAGCCTCCTGAGTGCTGAGATTACAGGCTTGCACCGTCATGCCTGTGTTCTGAAGGTAAGTTTATACAGTATTTTGATAATATTATGCATGAAACAAGTTCCTAAACATTGAACCACCACCTTAGCACTTGAAGGGTTTTGCATTTTGGATTTCAGATTTGAGAACTTAGACGCAGATGTTTAGATTGTACGGTACGTTTTATTTCAGTATGTTCCCCAGCCTCTCAAAGTCCCAGCTCGTTTCTTGGAGTCCTCCCGCTGGGACGCTCCCTGCAGAAGTCCCAGTGTTTGTGAGGAAGGGAACTTACCTTGTAGGTCTTGGAGCCCGTTCCCCATCCGCTCTAAGTTTCCATTCACCAGGGCAGTCACTCTGTGAATGTGGCCATGCTTATTTATTTCCTTTGGCAATTCTTCTCTCTCAGTCTCTTCTTCTTCCACTTCCTCCTCTTCAGCGGCATCCTCCTGTGCATCCTCCTCTTCCTCTTCTGAATCCACCAAAACCATGACGTCACCCATGTCTTGTCCCCTAATTTCCAAAGGAGGAAAAATAATCAAGAAGATGTCTTGTTTTTCCTAACATCACCCCTCCCTGAACAGCCAGCACTACATTCCCCACAGCCCTGTTAGTGCTATGGAAAATTCTTCATGCATTTACTGTGGTTGAGTCATGAGACAACGGTGTGGCTGTGACCTCACAAAGAGATGCAGCCATAGATTATTAGAGATGATGGTATCTTGCAGCAGATGTGCTGTGTTATTCTGTCCCTATCCTTGGGCGGGTAGCCATATTGTCCCAGGCATCCACCACTCCATTTCCCCTCACTGTATCTGTATCTAAATCTGTATCATGTATTTGGTGTGTTCTTTCCTGAAATGACCTTATTTCTGTTCTACCTAGGGCGATCTCTACTGCTCATTATTTAAGACCCAGGTAAAGTCCTCTCTCTCCCGCTAGACTCCTGGAGTCCATGATCAGCACCTTAGTAATGAATTGCCCTGTAGTTCATTGCTAGCTTTGCCTACCTAGCCAGTTACACATTTCTTTTCTTTTCTTTGGTACTGGGGATCGAACTCGGGACCTTGCACTTGTGATGCACGTGGTGGAACCACTGAGCTAAATCCCCAGCCCCAGAGTTATACATTTCTTAAGGAAGAAAGAATGTGTTCCATGGCCCGATTACAGTCTTAGCAGAGTTATAGTCTCATTTCATCCACCTAGCATCCCTGTGTGAAGCAGGTGGAGGCACGAGACTCAGACAGGGTCAGGAATTTTCCACAGACACAGGACTGGGAAATGGCACAGATGTCATTTGAACCCAGGCTTTCCCGCACAGTGCCATACACTACCATCCGCGTGAGTAAGTCATTACCCTTGACTCAAACACAAGGCAATAAAGGGATGGTTTTCCATTTAAGATGGTCCCAAAACAAAAATATCCCATCACTAGGAATGAGTCAAGAATTACTTGTCAAAAAAAAAAAAAAAAAAAAAAAAAATAATAAAAAAAAAAAAAAAAAAAAAAAAAAAAGAATTACTTGTCCTTGTCCATCGGGTAGAGAAGAGTTCTTTAAGAAATGAAATACACAAGTTCCATCTGGTTACTTTGCCCTTACTGGGGTTTCCTCTGGAGGTGGGGACTTCTGGACATGACCAGACTAGCCTTCCAAAACATTCTGTAAGACTATGACTTATTCTTCCTTTGGCTGTTTTTAGAAAATTCAATAAAACAAATGCATGAATGACTGGTGGTTCAATATGTACACACTGTCCTTGTTGCAGTGACAAGCACACCAGCTTGCCCAGCCCTGAGGTTTGGCATCGTCAAAGAGTACAGAGTTTGGACTCAATCAGAACTGGGTCAAAAGGTAGCTATTGCATCTACTTCTGGAATTAACTTGCAAAAATTACTTCACTGAACCTCTATCTCCTTGTCAGGAAAATGGAAATGCCACCGCCACCACCCTGAGTCAGTGTTGATAAGACTGTCTCATAAAGTTCCTGAACCAGTGTGGGGCAATGATGCGAACCAGATGGGAGTAGTTACCGTTGTTCTTACGACAGGAAGCACAACAGTGTGAAGATAAACTATGAAAATGGGTTTTTCTTCTACTTGAGTCTAGGGAACACTCACCTGAAAGTGCTTCTTACTAACAGAAGAAAAGGAAAGAAAAATTAATATCCAGCACCACCACTAAAATCTCACAAAACCCCACCCTCCTCCCAAAACACAAGGATCAAACCCAGAAGCATTCTACCACTGAACTACATCCCCGGCCCTTTTATTATTTTTATTTTCTTTTGGTACCAGGAATTGAACCCAGGACCTCTGCACTGAACCAGGTCCCCAGCCCTTTTTAAATTTAAATTTGAGATAAGGGTTTTGTAGGTTGCCCAGGCTGGGCTTTGACTTGAGAGCCTCTTGTCCCAGGCTCCTAAATATCTGAGATTATAGGTGTTCACCACCATGCCTAGCTCACAAAGGTTTTTCATCAAATTAACATTTATAAAAGATTAACACATGAAAAACTGACAACATGAGAAGTGACGGGGTGTTCAGGGACTATTTAGGTACCTTATTCCATGTCCTGATTGAATGAAGAATTCTATAGGACAGGACTGCAATGTGGGAATGAATATACCAGTGGCAGCCTTCTCTCACCCACACCTTTTTAAGAAGCTTGAAAGAGAAACAAAGGGATCCAGGAAGCCCTTACCTTTCCAGCAGAACACGGGACTGTAATACAACATAAGCCCTGAGATAATGGCCAGTCCCAACAGCAGGAGACTGACAATTGTTCCCACGATGCCCCCAATGTTTACAGGCTCTGTAAGGACAAATCACACCACTGTCATCCACTTAACACATCTGCTACTAGGAAAGCAACACCTCCCCTCCTCTGCCTAAGTTCAGTTCTAGGATAGCTCATCTTATCACTTCAAAAAGTTTGTAGGGATCAAATGAAGCACCCGATATGAAAGAACCTCAGAAAGTTCACATCTGTGCACTGGGCTTGGGATGTAGATCAGTGACAGAGTGCTTGCCTTGCATCTGCCATGAGATGCAAGCCCCAGTACCAAAACAACAAAACAAAACACACACAAAACAAAAAAAGTCCTCAAGCCTGGTTTCTATTGTTCTTTTCTTTGGCTTTCATTTTTTGGAAACAATGCCTTGACATGTCTTCAAACTGAACCTGATTTCACCTTATACCCCAGGCTAAACTTGCAATCCTCCTGCCTCAGTAACCTCTCCCGTGCTAGGACTGCATGCACACACCACCACACCCAGCTTCCTCAAGACTGTTTTGTTTTGGCTCTTGAACTACTGGAGATTGAATCCAGGGTTTTTGCTTATTTTTTTCAGGGTTTTTTTTTTTTTTTTTTTGGGTTTTTTTTTTTTTTTTTTTTGGTACTGGGGCTTGAACTCGGGTCCTTGTGTTTTTGAGGCAGGCGCCACAACCACTGAGATAAATCCCCAGCCCTTTTGCTTATTTTTTTGTTTTGTTTTGAGACAGGGTATCACTAAATCACTAAAGTTGCCCAGGCTGGGCTCGAACTTATGATCCTCCTGCCTCAGTCTCCAGAGTGCTGGGATTACAGACATGTGCTACAACGCCCAACTATCAAAGATTGTTTTTAAGGCCATGGTAAGTAAGAATGTGAGTTACTAGTGCCATGGTAAAAAGAGCAATAATAGAAAAGATACAGTGCATTCAGGCCTACACATATAAAGAAACTTGATATAAGACAGATTAGTGAACAAAAGAAACATCATCTGAGAAATGGTGCTGGAACAAATAGTTATCTAAATTTGGAGAAGAAAAAAAAAATAAAACTTGATCCCTACCTCTCGCCATTTACAAAAATCAATTCTATGTTAATAAAAGACAACTGTGACACAACGAAACGTTTTAGAAGAAATTATCTCTGTGACTCTGGAAGAGCATTTTTGTTATTCCTTGTTTGTTTGTGTTGAGGCAGGGTCTCGCTATGCAGTTCAGGCTGCCCTTGAACTCACTGTGTAGTCCTGGCCGGCCTCGAACTATTGACGATCCTCCCTCCTGAGCCTCACAACTGCTGGGAGCACAGGTGTACGCCACCACTCCAGCAGATTTCTTTAAACAAAAATTGCTACTGATTACCCAGACGTGGTATCACATACCTATAATCCCAGCATTTGGGAGGTTGAGGATCACAAACCCAGATCCTACTTGGGCAATTTAGCAAGGCCCTATCTCAACAAAACAAAACAGCTAGGAATGTAGCTCTAGCTCAGTACAAAAATCCCAGATTCAATCCCTAGTACCACAAAAAAAAATTGCTAATGATCTAAACAATGTTTCATAAAATCAACCACATTAAAATGAGGACATTTATTAAAGGATATGATACAGCAGAAAAGACACTGATAGAAGGTAGTATTTGTAACATGTAAAAACTAACAAGGAATTAGTATGAGAAATTTCTAAATAACTCCTAGACATCTACTAAAAAGGAGAAAATATCAAGACAAAATGTATTTCCCAGAAAAAAAAAAAAACGCAAATAGTAAATAACATAAGAAATGATGTTCAAAACCATGCTAGCAATCAGAGAAACTCACACTGAGACCACACCGAGATTCCATTTTTTACACACTAGATGGACAAAATTTCAAAGCCTGTTAGTAAAAATGTGGCGAATAAAATTCACTACTCTTATATCCTGCTTGGAATGAAAATGATTGGAAAATAATTATTTTGTCATAGAGATTAAAATGCACATCCTTCAAAAATCCCTGTACATACCCTACAGGAAGATTTGCCTGGGTACCTGGTATACACGTACATAAGCGCAGAGTAGAAGATGTTTATAACAGCTGTTTATCAAAACAACAACAAAAATCAGAAACAACACAAACATCCATCAGCAAGAAAATGAGTAACCTAGCTGTGGAAAGATGACACAGTGCAGAATTACACAGCGGTCAAGAGGTACGAAGTATTATGACACCCATCGACATGAATAAATCCCAGAGACAAAACATGGAGTGAACCAGGCAAGTCACAAAACACTGCGTATGTCGGTAATAATTGTTTTTGTTTTTTTTAAGAAAAAAAAATTTAGAGGAGTTTTAGGTTCATAACAAATGAGCAGAAAGCTGAGTTCCTGTATAACCCATATCCAGCCTCCCTCATTGTCAGTAGCCCACAGTACATTTGTCACAATTGCTGAACCCACACCAACACCTCACAGTTGACATCAGACGTCACTCTACATTCTACAGGTTCCGACAAATGGCCAATGACTGACAGGTGTCCATCATTCTCACATCATACAGAGGATTTCTACTGCCCTGAAAATCCAGGCTCTTTCTGCTTGACCCCCTCATCTTCCACAATCCCTGGCAACTACTGATCTTTTGATTAGCTTTGTAGTTTCATACAATATATAACTATGATGATGAGAAATAAATATTATTTAGAAATATATACTTATTATTATAAGTATATAATATTATTATACTATAATATTATATTAATATATTGATGTAATATTATATATTAATATATTATTGCATAATATAATTAGTATTATATATTAATATATATCAACATTATATTATATAATAATATAAGTTTATTATTATTTTTATATACTTAATATTATTTAGAAATATATGGTTTACATCTTAAACATATCCCACAGGTTCATGTGAAAACTTGGTTCCCAGCTGACTGGAAGGATGGGAACATCAGGAGGTAAGGCTAGAGGAAGTTAGGTCGTACGGTGTGTGCCCTGGAAGGCTATCCTGGGACCCGGTACCCGTCTCTATCTGTGCTTCTTGACCACCATGATATAAGCACCTTGGCCAAACCGTAGGCTCCCTGCCATCGATGTTTACCAAAGGCCCAAAGACAGGCTAAGTGATTAGGGACTGAAACCTCTGAAGCATGAGCCAAAATAGATCTTTTCTTCTTTAACATGTATATCTCAAGTAGTTTGTCACAGTAACAGAGAGTTGACTGTATGTGCACTTACACAGTAAAGTCTTTTTTAAAAACTAAAACAAGAAACTCTGGGTAGTAGCTTATCTTCTGTAAAAGGCCCAGGATAAGACTGGAAAGGGGCCTCCAAGTGCACTGTGGGTAAAATAGGAGATGCTTGATGAAATTTGCATTTCAGATGAATAATAATTTTTTAGCATACATATGTTCTACACACTATTAGGGGTATATTGATACCTTTTTTTTTTTTTTTTGGTACCAGAGATTGAACGCGGGTCCTTGCGTTTACAAGGCAGGCCACCAAACTGCTGAGCTAAATCCCCGGGCCCATTTTGATGCTTTTTACAAACTTCTTTGTATTTCTGACATTTACACTGAAGTGTTTTGGGTTCTAGTGTTGTTTACTAAACCTGGCCTCACTACCCTCAGGCACATCATCAGTCTCAGCACTGCTTTGTATCTTAAGTGGCTCATTATTCTTTTTGGCATTCATTTTGCTGTTACGCTTCCCAAACTACAGATACTACATATATATTCTTTGGTACATAACATATACTACATTTTTTTTTTTTTTTTGTCTCTCATGCATTTTAGTGCTTTTGGGATCAGACAGCATTTTTTTATAGTCACCTCATCAAGCCACAGAGAAGCATTCACAATCTACCCATGTTGGCAGTGGCCCATGTGGGGCACCAGGCTATCCCCACACTGCTGCCAGGGGCAGGACACGCTCAACTCTCCTCCTCTTCATCACTCACCTTTGACACTCAGCCAGATGTCCACCTCCCTCACCCCCACAGGGTTCTCAGCCCGGCAGATGTAGTAGCCCTCGTCCAGGTCCTGGGAGCAGTTATGGATTGTGAGGGTGGAGCTCTGGCCATTCTGGGCAATGAGGTAGTGGCTGTCCGGCTGGATGACCACCTCGGGCTGGGTCAGGTTCCTCAGCCACTGGATCTTGGTGGCGGGGTAGGCTGCAGTTACCTGGCAGGTGAGTGTCACGTTGCCCCCCACAAAGCAAGTTTTTATGGGCTCAGAAAAAAGGGAGGGGATCCCTGGTGATGAGAAGAGGGTTAAAAAAAAAAAAGAAAGTCAAATGTTTAGAGAAATGCAGGCCACAGCCTGAGAACCTTCAAGAACGTCATTTTCTTCCTACTGACACAACTCCAGGAATTTCTGTACTATACCTGGCCCTACAGAAGAGAAGCTAACATTTATTGAGCATTTCCTATGAGCTAGGGGCTTTTACCTGTATTAACTCCATTCCTTCTGACAACAACCTTGCTATTATCCTCATTCACAGGGAGTAAACTGAGGCACAGAGAAACTTACGCAACGTGCTCAAAGTCACACAACTAAATGAGATATATAGCTAGAATTTAGAGCGAACAACTGTCTCGCTTCACTCAGAACTGAAGAACAGTCTCTGAGACATGGGGCTTTCCCAGTGCTAAAACCATAAAAATTTTGAGCGAAACAGAATAAGCTGGTTTTTCTAGGTACGACACAGACCCAAGCAGCAGGCCTGGTAATGTCCCTGTTACCAGCGTCTCTGCGAAATAACCACGCTGTTCACATAAAATATGGATACATGGTCTGGCCAGGAGCTCCAGGGGAAAGCAGGGCAGCTGTGTGCTCTCTATTGCTGATGTGACAAATTACTACAAACTTAGTGGCTTAAAATAATATACTTATTCACCTGTGCTCTGGAGGTCAGAAGTCAGAATGATCTTCCAGGACTAAAATCAAGGTGTTGGCAGAGCTGGTTCCTCCTGGATGCTCTAAAGGAGAACCGTTGCTTTGCCTTTTGGGTTTCTATGAGGCTCCCTGCACTCTCTGGCCCCTTCCTAGCCTCATTCCAAACTCTCCTTCTGTGGTCAGGTCAGCTACCAAGGACTCAGACCTGCCACCCTCTCGTGTAGCTCCTGGTGGTTATACTGGGCCCATCTGGAGAATCCAGAGCATTGTCCCCAACTCAACATCCTTAACTCCATCAGCAAAGGCCCTTGCACCCTGGAAGGTAAAATTCACAAGTTCTGGGGGTCGTGATGTGGACTTCTGGGAATCTGCCCTGGAAAACACCTGGCATTCCTGTGCCCCCGGGATCTGATCTGAGCAGAACACAGGCCACCGTAGCAAGGCATTTGTTTTCATTGCCTTTCCTCACAATGTACGCCTCTGGGCAGGGCTGCAGATTCTTCTTGGCTTCAGGAAGTGCATACTTCCATCATCTGAAGGGCAGAGAGTGGCAAACTGGGACCCTGCCTGGGACAGTGAAACACATTTCCTTCGGCAGTTGTTCCAAAGGAGAATCTAGGGTTTCACGGCTGGCATCCTGGGAAGAGGGCAGGGAAAGGAAGGGTGAGGGGTCAGGAACAGCCTACACATAAGGCCAGCACAATGGAGGAGGTACTTTCCCCGCTACCTAGTCTTCTTTGGAAACTCTCATGGAAGCCCTCCTTTCTTGGATCAGCCATCAGGTCCTTCAAGCTGCCAGTTGCTTCTCTATTTTCTGTTAGGGTCATGAAGCCAACAGCAGCAATAAACTTCATCCGTGTACATAAATATATACTAGAACTCCCAAACCAAAGTTTCCAAAATGCTCCCCCTTCTTCTTAGACAATGTCCCGGGGAGCCCCTCCTCAGCCCCAAACAATTATCATGTGTGTGGGCCAGGGGTTTAGCTCAGTGGTTCCACCACCTGCCTGGCAAGCACAAGGACCCGAGTTTGATCCCTGGTACCAAAAAAAAAAAAAAATTATCATGTGTGTGACTGTACTTTTGCCAAGCAGAGCCATTCGCTCCTTAAAAAGCTGGGTTACCCCTATTTGGCCACTGGGGGACCTAGTCAGAGAGTTTAGCTTATGGGTTTGCTGTGGGCAGGGGTGGGCTAGTGGCTGCAGAAGAGATAGAGTCCCTCGGAGAACTACAAGAGGACAGAATAGCAGGCTTCACACATTGCGCTGGCAAAGGTGGCAGCTTATTGTGAGATGAGCTGGTTTCTTTGGTGTAAGGAGCTGCAAGGCACAGCAGTGCACAGCAACAGTCCCAGCTTTCTTTTTTTGAGACAGAGTCATGCTATGCGGTTCAAACTGGCCTTGAATTCACTATGTAGCCCAGGCTGCCTCGATCTCATGGCAATGCTCCTGCCTCAGCCTCCCAAGTCGTGGGACTACAGGAGTGGGACACCACACCTGGCTAACACATAGTTATTGTTTTAAGCCACTAAGTTGGGTGGTAAACTGTTAAGTAATAATACATAATTAATGGATGAACCTTGTCAGTTCTGTTCATCGCTCCTGCCTTAGTATCTACTCACTTTACCTGGAGTACAGCAGGTGCTCAATCGGTATTTCCTGAGCGAAAAGTGCTTCAGCTAAAACCAAGAATCTTAGTGAGGCATCTTTAAAGTTTGTTCACTCTGACACATTGGGATTTCTTTCCCAGAACTACTTTCAGAGGATCCTTGCAGAACAAAGGAAGGCAGGCGAACCCCAACCCAGGACAAAGCAAGGCGGACTCACTGATCTGCACCACACAGCTGGCTCCCAACTCTGGCCCCGCGATGTGACTCCCGACACATCTGAACTTCTTGCCATCCGAAAGCTGGGACCGGTCCAGCTCTGACTTCCCCACGATGGCCCCTCCTGGCTCTTCTGTCCACAGGAAGTTAGGATCAGGGTAGCCCCCGTCCCAGTGACAGATGAGCTTCAGTGTGGACAACTGTGCTGCTGTCTCTGCTGAGCACTGCAGAGGTGACCGAGGGGGCGCTGCAAAACACCAGAAGGGACCAAGGGTTTAATGGCAAACTCAGAGAGTGCCACCAGGCTGGTGCTCAGGATACAGAACCCCAGGCTCGGAGAGACATCCACTCCAAGAGTCACTCAGAAAGAACACCTCCAACACAAACCTAACACCAAGGAGAGCCTACTGCCACCACCTGGTGTCCTCTGCTAGGTGTGAAGTCTCTCAGGAACGGCTTGCACTTGCTTTTCATTTCTCTCCAGCTGTGTGTGGCTATTTAAACGAACACTGCACATGCAGTTCCTCCACAACACTACTCACAATGCAGCACTCAGGAAACCCTGGGCTGCTGTGTAAGACCACACAGGACAAGACGCTTCCAGAGTCTCAGGAAGTTCTACCCGACAGTGCAGGCCCTGGAAACTACCAGGGGTTGCCTCTGGCTAAGGGCAAATGAAAAACGTAGAGTTACCAGACAGGGAGACGTTCATCCCACCTCCAACGCGTCCGGTCTAACGCGTATGTCTGTTATACAGGTTCGTACACTCTATGTTATACAAAGAGAAATAGATGTGGCCCAGTGTGGTGGGGCACGCCGGTAATTCCAGCTGAGTTACACAGATCCCGACTCAAAAAATACAGAGGAACTCAACAAACAAAAACTCAAACGGAAATAAAGTTGGATTGTATATGAATGGGTGGATATGTAACACTGACAAGAAAAATTACTGGAAAAATCCCCCAAAATAATGGTTAGAACGATTATTTTCTTCTTGAAGCTCATCTGTCATTCCCTACAAGCACATGTCACTTTGTGTACTGTAAGTGTCATTTATGTTAAAAAACACAGGGACTTATAAAAGCTGTGAATAACATACAAATTAAGCAGTGTGTCATTATCCTGCCCACTCTTCTCTTGTTCCCATGTTCCCTTTCATTAGCATGGATTATGAGTGCACTTGGCGTTTCTGCAGTGGTTTTTAGCCAATATATTTGCATAGAGGAGTGTTTGGTTGGTGTTTCCCCACCCCCAAAATAAACTCACGTACAGCCTCCCTGGGCTTCCGAAAAGCATGGATACAGACGGAAGAATGGATAAATAAACAGCGGTGTCCCCATACCATGGACTGTTACTCAGCCGTGTAAAGAAATGAAGTACTGACACTTGGTGCAATGAGTCCACAGGGACTCTGCGGCAGCCCTTCAACACATTCTGTAGAATGAAAGAAGCCAGACACAGAAGGCCGGATAGTGTTACAATCCATTCACACGAAATATCCAGAACAGATCAACCCATAGAGGTGGAACACAGGGCTCGTCGGGGGCTGGGGAGAAGAGAAGATGGGTGTGACTAGGATTTTCCAACTGAGGCACTGAAAATGTTCCCACATTTGCTATAATTTGCATCTGGAATGCACCCCAGAGCCCCACTGAATTCAGGACTTAGTCCCCAGTGTGGTGCTCGCTGGAGGTGGTAGGAACTAAGAGATGGGACCATGCCCTTGAAGGGCATTGTTAGACCCTACTGCCTTCCTCTTCCTGTATGTTTTGTACCCAGCGATGAAATGAACAGGCTTACTCTGCTACACACTCCCGCGATGATGTCCTGTCCACCACAGGCCCAAAGCAATGGGTACAATGAGTCATGGACTGAAAACTCCTACTGAACTGTGAGCCACTTAACTACTAGACAGAGATGGCAGTTGCACAATATTATGAATGTACTAAATGTCAAAAGTTGTACATTCTTTCACTTTTTGTTTTTCACAGAACTGAGGACTGAACCCAGGACCTTCACTCTGAGCTACATCTCCAGCCCTTTTTTATTTATTATTATTTTGAGCCAGAGTCTCACTAAATTTCCCAAGCTGGATTCAAACTTGCCATCCTCCTGCCTCAGCCTCCTAGAGTACTGGGATTACAGGTGTGTGCTACCATGTTCAGTTTCATCTCTATTTTTAAAAAATGAAAGAAAAAAAATAAGGCACGAGGCCACAAGCTTCCAGAGGTGTGACACAGAGCCATGCGTGGGTCACGAGGGAGCCGCAGGTGCAGCAGGTCACACCTCTTAGGACAAAAGGACAAGGCGCAAACACGCAAGCGCCACGGAGGGGGAGGGCGGCGACGCCGGGGAGGGGAGCGCTTCTTACGCACAGTAGACCAGGAGCTCGGTGATCACCTTGCGCTGTCTCCCGCTGAGCGTGTTGGTGGCCAGACAGGTGTAGTTCCCTTGAAGGTTTTGCGACATCAATAGCAGTGTGAAGTAGTTGCCCGTCAGGTTGGTACCAAAGGACTCGGAGCGGGAGTGGGCCTGGAACCACCACTCCACCACAGGCGGGGGCTGGGCGCTGCTGCGGCAGCCGAAGTCCACCTGCGAGCCCCTGATGGCGTAGAGCGAGCCGTTGGCCAGAGCGCCGGTGGCCGAGATATTGACTTCAATGTGACTGGGGCCGCCTGGGAACGACAGGGGAAAGGGTGTCGTGGATCACTCCTGCACTCACTTGAGCTCCGTACCAGTCCCAATAGACACACGAGTGCTCAGTGGCCACCGGACGCTGTGTGACAGAGGCTGTGCTAACTGCCCTGACAGGATCCTGTGAGATCCAGCAGCGGAGTACATGTTTATAGACCAAGAAAAGTAAAAATTGCTACTTTGTAAAAATACCACAGCCCTCCGGGGATTTAGCTCAGTGGCGCCGCTGAGAGTTCGATCCCCGGTACCAAAAATGTTAAAAATAAATAAATAATAAAAAATAAAAATACCACAGCCCAGCATGGTGGTGCACACCTAGAATCCCAGCACTAGGGTGGCTGAGGCAGGAGGATTCCACAAGTTCGAGGCCAGCTTGGACCCACATAGTGAGCTCAAGGCCAGCCTGGGTTATACAGCAGGACCCTGTCTGGAAAATAAATAAATAAACAAAGTACAAACAAACCCCACAGAGCCAGGGGTAGAGGTGCATGCCTAAATGCCAGTACTCTTCATGGCTGAGGCAAGAGGATCACAAGTTCAAGCCTACCTTGGATAACTCAGTGACTTAGTGAGACCTTGTCTCAGAATATTTTTTAAAAAAAATTTGGAGGGGTGGTACTGGGGATCAAACTCAGGACCTTACGCTTGCCAGGCAGGCAGTGGCACCACTAAGCTAAATCCCTGGCCCTTCAAAATAAAATATTTAGAAAGGGCTATGGGATGTAACACAGTGCAAAAATCCTGGGTTCAATCCCCAGGACTGTAAAGGTAGGGAAAAACCCACTACAAGGTAGAAAAGACATAGCACAGCAAGACCAAGCCTGTTACCCTGTTCAGGCCTGCTTGGTCAGCCCTTGGAGGTATCTAGAACAGATCTCTACCAGACCCAGAATGGATTAAAAAGTGGCTTGCTGTCTCCCCTTATTGCCAAATACCTTTTCTTCCAGAAGTCTGGAATTTTGGTATGCAGTAGACAGACCAGCTCTCAGTTTTACAAAAAGGCTCTGAACCTCTAGTAAACTTCCCTGGCAGACCTCTGCTATGTGTCACCATAGTCATCTAAGAACGTTCTGTGCAAACCCATAAGGAAGTAAGTCATGCAAGCTCCTGCTTTGTTTCCCCTGGTCTTCATCTCTTGTGCATTTTCTCTTTGCTGATGCTGCTATTACTGTCATAAATGATGCCACATGCTCAAGTCTGTGAGTCCTGCTAGAGAATTATGGAACCCAGGGAAGCTCGGGGGGACCCCCAGCACAATGCACCAGCTGATCAAGAAACAGCGTATGTTTAAATGAAATTACAGTAAGTCACATGGTCACGAATCCCCCTCAGAATACTCTCCCTGGCTTTAAATACATTTATGCCATCACTCTTCCCATTTTCTTTTTTTTCCTCCAGTGTCAGGAATTGAACTCAGGACCTTGCACTTACCAAGGAGGCACAGTGCCACTGAGCTACATCCCCAGCCCCTCTGGCCATTTTCTGAAGCAGTTCTGGCAGTCCTCTTCTGTGAGTGTCTTTATAAGACGTGATTAAAACTACAATAAAAGCTGCTGTTTCCTGCCATGCAACAGAAAGGCAGGCTCGTAAAAACATTACTACGTTCTCATCAGCCTTATTCACCAGATCTGGTACCAACAAGCTTCGGGCTCTTCCTCAAAGTCAAAATGACTGTGAAAGGTAAATGTTTTGAATCAGTTCAGGACACCAAGGCAGCCATGACGGCAGACTAAATTAGGCACTCACAAAGGATATCCAGAACTGCTTCAGAAAGTGGCTAGAGCAATGGAGTAAGTGTTTGACTCAAGGGGGACTGTTTTCAGGAGGATTAACGGCAATGTCTTTTACTGTAATGCATTTTTTAAAATTTAAACATTCATTTTTTTAATCATATCACATATCATACTGAAAAATAGGAAATAATGTGGACTGTACTTAATAGCTGTGTAGCATTGGGCAAATTACTTACCCACCTTAGCCTCCATTTACTCACCTATAAAATGGGAGTGAGGAAAATATCTACTTCACAGGGCTGTTGGGCAATTAAAGGAGTTAGTCCAGTGGAGTACTCAGAAAAACGCTGGAAGCACTTGCTAAACTTGCTTATCGTGCTTCTCCTCTTCTTCCTTCTTTCTTTCCTTTTTCCTTTCCTTTCTTCCTTTACTTCTTTTATCGAGAGAGGGCCTCACCATGTAGTCCAGGCTGGCCTTGAACTTACTATGAAGCCCAAGCTGGCCTCAAACAGATGGCGATCCTTCTGCCTCAGCCTTCGAGTGCTAAGATTTCAAGTGTGCACTACCACACCTGACTTCTCACATTTCTTAATTTCTGAAATGCCCTTTACTGTTGGTACCACAGCACCCAAGATGCCATCTTCCCTTTGATGAAAATACAGTGTATCTCCTATCTGGGGATGTAGCTCAGTGACAGCGCGCACACGTGTGCGCACACACACACACACACACACACACACACACACACACACACGATATTATCCTACAAACACATAGATAGGGGGCTGGGGATTTAGCTCAGTGTTTCCGCTGCCTGCCTCCCAAGCACAAGATCCTGAGTTCAATCTCCAGTACCAAAAAACAAACAAACAAACAAAAACCATATATATGGTTATCTGTCAATTAAAAAAACATTTTTTAGCTAGGTGTGGGGGCTCACATCTATAACCCTAGCACTCAGGAGACTAAGACAGGAGGCTTGAGGGCAGCTTGGGTTGACCAATCCCTGGTTCT